TAGGAGAAATCGGAGATGTGTTGTTGAAAAGCTTTGTGTTCAACTGAGAACCCATGGGAATAATAATAATAATGTGCAATTGAAAATTTTAATGTGCAAGTTTTCTGTATTTTGACATAGGTGAACATCGTTTTGAGAGATACAACAATTCTGCCTACCAAATACTACCTTACTTTGCCATTACAATGGCTAGGTATACTTTCTCAATCAAATTTATTTTTCTAAATGAGTACTATCAAAAATTTCCACCTTATAAAAACTTTTAATTATTTTTTGAAGTCATAAAGTTATACAGGATGTATTTATAACGACTGACCTCTCTTATCATTCCGTCTAACAACAGGCGAGCATCATTCTCCAACTCTAGCTGTTCATCGATTTCTTCCATTAGCCAAGGTAGAAATCCTTCTTCAATATCTACAGAAAACATGAGATAGGAGTATAGTTAGTAAGGGCTATCAAATCAGAAGACTATAATAATAATAATAATGCAATTATTCCTGTCTATGCAGGGATACACCAACTGAACAGGTATGGATAAGTATTATTTAAATTACATAAATTTTGTTTGCGGCGAATTGACATAGTCTCAGTTCTTCTTGACCTGACTTTGTGGGAACAATCTGCTATTTAGTCATTCAATCGATCACATTTAGAAGTACAGGAATATTGTCTTCGCATTAACAAGAAAACTCAAGTCTGTGTTGGATGGTTCACAAATACTTGGGGAAAAAATAGAGCTTGAAGTCAATTCGTATACAATTGGTGGATGGTGGCTAGCAGTGGAATCCAGGATGCGCCCAAGTGGTCTAGTGGATAACGCTTTGGCGTTTGAAACTATGGGTACTGGGTTCGAGCCTCGGTGGGAACATCATCACTCACTGAGAAATGCAGGTACATCCAGCTGACGAGTCCCAAATAGGACGAAATGCGCATCCTGGATTCCACTGCTAGCCACCATCCACCAATTGTATACTAACTAAGTACCCAGACATCGTCGAAGCATCTGCACAAGAAGTCGACATGTCAACCTGAGACCGAGCACTTCGGTCCAATCAATCGTTGGGAAAATCGAAAATTCAATTCAATAATTGAAGTCAATTCTCTTATATTAACTTTTCTGTGTACAGCATTAAGTCTTATTTTCAAGTATTGGTTTGTAGAGATTTGATTGATTGGTTACAGGATTTCGTCATGAGATGACGTCGGTTAGAGAACCATTGAAAAACCAGCTGGGAGTACTGGACGGCTGTTTCGTCAAACTAGTTTGAAACTCTTTAGCAGTACTCACCCACTAGTGACTGGCCCTATTCAGGTAGATAGTTACCAGATGTTCTAGTGGGACGTTGTGACCAGTAGGATTCAACAAGTGGGGTGTTTAAGACAAATACTCACCAGCCATGAAATAGGCTAGTAGTCGCTCTATGTCATGAATTGACAAAAGTTGGAATTCATGGGCTGGTTGGCCATTGGATCGGGTCCCAGTGGCTTAATGGTCTACGATCTAGCTCGTCTTGTAACCAGAAGGTCCTGGGTTCCAACTCTGTACTCATAATTCAAGTATTGGTTTGTAGGGATTTGATCGATTGGTTACAGGCTTTCACCATGAGATGACGTCAGTTAGAGAACCATTAGAAAACCTGCAGAGAGTATTGAACAGCTATTTCGCCAAGCTAGTTTGGAACTCATCGCCAGTACTCACCCACCCCACTGCCATCGTTCGAACTCACGACCTTCTGGTTACAAGGCTAGCGAGCTCGTAGACCGTTAAGCCACTGTTAACAAATCCAATGGCCAACCAGCCATGAATTCCAACTTCTCCCAATTCACGACATAGCGTGACAGCTAGCCAATGTCTTCGGAGAGTATTTGTCTTAAACACCCAACTATCTGCACCTTACTAGAACCCCAGGTAACAATTGTCGTTATCATGAGGCAAAGTGTTCTTTTTCCCTTCCTTCTCTATGAGTAGTTTCCAATAAATGCATCGCATTCAAAGTTATAATTCTGATAATAACAATTATAATTAGAGGTATTTTAATTGAAATTCAAATTATGAATAATATCAGATGTACCCACAACACCCCTCCGCAGATTACAAGTGTGGTGAGAGCTGTCTGCTAGTCAAAATTTTAGACACCAATTTACGTCAATGCTTACTTCCCATATCTTGGTCATGAGAAAAAAACAAGAACAAAGAGTAATTCAGTAACCAATCACAGCAAACCTTGCGTGGGCGAATACGATTCGCAGATATATGGTCTAACCTTCAAAGAAACAGCCACATAGAGATGACAGATTAACTTTCAGCGAGAAAACAACCAATCAGAAGACGCTGTTACTCTGCTAATAATAACGAATAAGAATGTACATAAAAATATATAAATATCTTTTGATTTTCTCAATAGACGATCTGTTGCCTGGCCTTTGTCTTCTGTCGTTATACAAGTATCTACCGAACAATACTGTACTCAGTGTGTAACTTACCGTCAACTTCTTTAATAAATATAAACCACTATCAACCTACCTCTTTCAATTGGATCATAAAAGTATCCATTTTCTGATAAAATATTGAATACATGAGGTTGTAAATCAGACAAATAGGCTTTAGCAAATGCTTGTGCTGCGACTTTAACAGCTAATTCTCTTTCTTGTTCTGCAACTGCTAAAAATTGAGCTTTACGTCTTTCTTTTTCTTCTCTGTGGAAATTTAAGAATAAGATTGAAGCAGGTAGCAGGTTTATTTTTTTACCACATAGAATAAAATGCCTATAGTTGATATGTGTGTTAAAAATAAAGACGCCACTAACGAGATTGGCAAAGCTGCCCAGATCGCAAACGAGATGAAAAGATACGGAATTCAAGTACTGGGAATATGTGAAAGTAGATGGAACGGGAATGGACTCACCAAATTGTCAACGGGTGAGTCAGTGATCTACTCCGGTCACCAAGAAGATAACCACACGCACACCGAAGGCGTGGCTATGATGATGTCACCAACTGCAACAAAGGCCCTCATGCAATGGGAGGCGATCTCGTCCAGCATAATGACCACCAGATTCAACTCCAAAGGAAGGAAAGTGTCGATTATACAATGTTATGCACCCAAAAACAACGCAGACCTCGAAAAGAAAGAAGAATTCTACAGACAACTACAGACAACAGTGGAAAATACTCCAGCTGGTGACATTGAAATGCTAATGGGAGACATGAACACCAAACTGGGATCATACAACACAGGAAAGGAACTCCTCATCATAGGTAGAGAAGCTCTCGGAGAAATGAAAGAAAATGGAGAACTCTTCGTCGACTTCTGCGCCTTCAACGAACTAGTGATTGGTGGCAGTGTATACAAACACAAAGATATCCACAAGGCTACATGGGTGTCACCAGATGGGCGAACCAAAAACCAAACTGACTTCATCTCAATCTCAAGGGATTGGAGGCGCAGCCTACTGGACACAAAAGTAAGAAGAGGAGCAGACGTTGGCACAGACCACTATCTCGTACAAGGGACAATCCAAATCAAACTAAAAGCTTTCAGGGAAACAGGAGCTGCAGATAGACCACAAGCCAAGTTCAACACTCAAAGACTGAAGGACCAAGATACAAAGGACATCTTCATTGCAAGCATAAGAGGCAAAGCCGAGACACAAATCAACACTAGTGAAGAGGTCGGCGTCGAAAAGCACTGGAACAACTTGAAAACGGTGTGGAGTTAAACCTGCATCGAAGTTCTGGGGAAAAAGAAGAGGCAAGATAAACAGTGGCTCACTGCGGACACTTGGGAACTAATAGAAGAGAGAAGGATAGTGAAACAAAAGATTATCCAGTGCGCCGACGAGCAACAAAAACAGGAGTTGAATGCAAGCTACAATACGCTGAACAAAAGAGTGAAGAAGAGTGCCAGGGAAGACAAAAGGAAATATTATGAAGCCATGGAAGGAGGAAATGGAGATGGATTGGCCATACACTGAGGAAACCATCAAGTGACATCACTAGACAAACCCTCGAGTGGAACCCGAAATGGAGACGCGCAGCTGAAGCCCTATGTTCCTCTAGCAATTAAAGGATATAATAATAACTCGATTACTTTGAGAAACTAATAAATAAAAGAAAATTTGCTTGTAATTTGTTTGTTATTTAAACTGATTTTGGATTCTAAATCATTCTTGAGATCAATTTTACAGAAAAACAGCCTGGTAAATATCTCGTTGCGCTTTCAAGCAACTAGATTAATATTCTATTATTGGTTTGCACGGATCCGACTGGTTACAGGATTTCAACATGATCTGACATCAGTCAGAGAACCACCGAAAAACCACCAATCGAGTGCTAAACAGATAGTTATTTCGTCCTAGTTTGGGACTCTTCAGAATTACGCACCCACCCCACTACCAGGGATCCAACCCACTACTTTTCAGTTACAAGTCAAGCTAGATCGTGGAGCATTCCGTCACCTGACCCCTCAACGTCTAGCTCATGAATTCCAGCTACCGCCGATTCACTAGGTGGCGCGACTGTCACTACTACATCACTGGCAAGTATTTGTCCTGACAACCAGCCTGCTATATCCCAGTGGTCAGGAGTCTAGATAACTGCCCACCTGAATAGGGATGGTAGTCGCTAGTGAGAATCAGATTAATATTCATGTGTTGGTTTGCAAGGATCTGACTTTTTACAGGATTTCATCATGAGCTGACATCAGTTAGAGAATGGTTGGAAAACCAGTAGAGAGTATTGGACAACTACTTCGTCAGCAGTGCGCACCCATCCCACCGCTATGGTTGGAAACCAGGCCAATCCCTCCTTGTGACCGAAAGGTCACACATTTAATAATCCTTCAAATCGAAGAGAACAAGTGACTGAGCCATTAATCGATAGGCAGGACATTCAATATCCAAACTCCTTCGACAAATGTCATAAACAGCTTCATTAGCAGTCATAAATGAACAATTATTTAGTTCTAAAGTAGTATGTGCATTAAGAATAGAAAATATATGGATATTTGGGGTGGTGGTAGGTAGATAACAAATTCAATTTTCGACTTTTTTCATCAGTATTCCACATTGACACGTTATAATAATAAAAATTTGAAAATCCAGATCCAAGTTAAAGACTATTCATCTGAGGGTGAGTACTAATGAAGAGTCCCAAACTAGGCTGACGAGCAGCCTGTCTAATACTCGACTGCGCTGTTTTTCCAATGTTTCTCTATCAGACATCAATTCATGATGAAGTCCTGAATTCAATCAGTTATTCCATCTTGAATGAATGTACACCTCCCTTTACGCATTCCTCTTGGCTGCCTGAAACTATAACAATAATAACAACAATAATCTACTATATTCCAAAAATATTACCTATAATATAGAATGGAATTCTCAGCATTTGTCACAATATTGCATTTGATTTACTTAAAATATAAATAAAATTAAAAATTAAAACGAAATTAACCAAAGGAATTTGTTCTTATTCACGATATAAAGTCAAAAATATTAGAAGTACGAATTGAGAATAATAAATATAATAATAATAACAACAGTGGGTTTGTTTCAAACAGTATTGTCGATTCAGTTCGGAAATTTTAGCATGTGATAGATTATTGAATTTAATGTTCAGATGATATAGTATGGTGGAGGTAAATACAAAATTAACAGTTATAACACAGCTTAAATGATTTCACACTTTTGAAAATAAAAATAAAAACAAAAACTTGCGAGGATTATAAATATAAGAAGAACAATAAAAGTAAAGCTTCATGTTATAAGGGTAGAGAAAATGATTTATTTAGGAGTGCAAAGAAGGTTAGTTAGTTAGTTAGTTCGTTCCTGACACTATTTTCATCACATAAAATACTTGTCGCCAAATAGGGTATAGCGGAATTTTCATACTTAGACGTACGTGCAACATAAAGTCTTCTGAAAAGACTTCTTGTTTTACCTGAGGAGATACAAGGTTGGAGCTGGTGGTGCTGCTGTGGATGCTCATAGTCTGACAAAATTCCTTTAGCAAATATGCTGCATGAAATCAATTGCCTATCAATGACTATGTCAACGATATGACCCAATCGGATACCACTTGCCCTACTGACAGTTAGCCTTCAGAGAATAAGCAAGGGTGAACAGTAACGAAGAGTAGGTTAGATGCAAGAGTTGACAAACTGTAAGAGGAGGGGTTGGGCTATACCTGAGGGCCTCAACTTCTTAATGTAAAAAGTCCAACGAAATATTCTTTTAGAAATCGCTAAGACATGGGAAGATCAGGATAGGCAAGAAAAAAGAATTAATTCAGGATACTTAACTTCAGAATTGCAACTGCCATAGGAACCAATAGCTTCATCTAAAACATATCAATTCGAAGATAGAGGCAATTCAATTCACTTATGAATTGGAAAGTCACGAAGGGGAGCTTCCAAAGTGAGATTGTAGCGTAAAAAGGAAAGATGATGGGAAGTTAAAACACACTAGTGTGTACAGAAAACCCACACATTCAAACGGATATTTGGAATTCTGATCATCCCATCCTATGTCAGTAAAAATGGGATTGGCGAGATGTTTAAGTAACAACTGAGGCACAAAAACTAACTAGTATCAAGGAAAATCTAGGACAGGGAGTGAGGCATATAAAAGAAGCTTTAAAACTTAGCGATTACCCTGGCAAATTAATCAGGAAGTATGAAGCAAAAGGTAAAAATAAAATTATTAATAATGATAGTGATAATAATATCAGTAATGACAACATGCATGTCAAATGTGCAGCAGAAAATAATGACACCAACAATAGGGAATATAAGCCATCAGTAGTAATTCCATAGAAGGAAGGAACCTCGGAAGCCACTTTACGCAGAATTCTCAACAATGCAGGAATAAAAGTGGCTGGCATTCAAACTACCCACAAACTCAATTAGAAACAAGCTTTGTCGGTTAAATGGTGAATCCTATGGAGCCGATTAAACAAAACAATATTATTGTTTATCTCATACCCTGCAATGATGTCAAGTCATATTAGTAGAAAGGGGTCAGTCAATCAGACCAGCGGAGCATAAAAACCTAGCAAAATCTAGATTTGTTGATCTCAATAAGATAAGAAATCTGGCGAATAGTTAGTTCAGCTATATCACTCACTACATGCAATTACACACATCCGACCATACAATAAGATGATGGGATAAGATGTCAGTTTTAAAATCTAATGTAACACGGTGGAGGGAGACATTGTTAACAGAAGCGTTGTTTATCGAATCAACTGAAGAGAGTACGTGTAATAGAATGATTCAACACCTGTCCTCCTCGACATATGGAAAATTCTACTACCCCTACGACGAATAAAAAAACTAAGACAAAGTTTCGAAATTGTATGGTTTTAACTGATAGGATTATAAACTACAATAAATTGTGTTCAAAACGCGTCGTGATCCATTAAATAACACTGTTTCACTGTGTGATGCATATCTAATAATTAAAATAATATGGAATTATAATTCATTGTTTGTTTAATTTTTTTAGATTTGAAAGAACTTTTGAACTCTACGAAAAAGGGACCGGTTGATGTAAGTTGTAACAATGCTATTTTAAATTTTAAGTGTTGGTTTCCAGGGATTTAACTGGTTACAGGATTTCATCATGAGTTGGCAACAGTTAAAGAACCATTTAAAACCAGCACTGGAGTACTGGACACCCGTTCCGTCCTAGCTTGAGACTCTTCATCAGTACGCATCCACCGGGGTTCGAAAACAGGGCCTTCCGGTTACAACGTGGGGCTGTTAGACGATTAAGCCATTGTGACTTTATCCAATGGCCTACCCATAAATTTCAACTCCCATCGATTCACTATATAGCGCGATTGGCAGTAGCCAGTGCCATTGCTGGTGAGTATATGTCCATACACTCTACCTGGTATACCCTGCTGGCCATGACTTCCCACAAGAACCTAGGTAACTACTTACCTGAATGGGGCCAGTGGTTGCGTTGTATCGTGAATTGGCAGAAGTTGGAATTCTTGAGCCATTGGATCGAGTCCCAGTGGCTTCATGACCTACGAGTTCACATTGGGACCAGGAGGTCGTGTGAGTATGAACCCTGGAAGTGGAGTGGGTGCGTACTGCTGAAGAGTTCCAAACTAGCGTGACAAAGTACTCCAGGGGCGGTATTCCAATGGTTCTCTAACCGATGTCAACTCATGATGAAAATTCTGTAATTATTTTAAATCATCACCGCTTCACTTATTTCGGAAGTACCATCAGCCAGTGCCAACGGGTTGATCTCTGACGAAATCTCAGCACGAATACAGGGGGCTCGTTTCGCATTTGCCAGTTTACGCCGACTCTGGCGTAGAAGAGATGTTCGACTATCGACCAAAGGGCGGGTGTACTGCTCATCAGTCCGCTCCGTCCTCCTTTATGGTTGTGAGACCTGGCCATTGAGAGTGGAAGACATGAAAAGTTTGACTAGCTGTCTTTGATCATAGGTGCCTGCGCTCTATTTCCCGTGTAAAGTGGCATAATAAGGTGAGCAACATTGAAGTTAGGCGTCGAGTCCTAGGTAAACAGGGGAAATCAATCGACGAAGTCGTGAAGTTACAAAGACTGAGATGGTTAGGACATGTGTTACGTATGCCAAGCCATCGCCTCCCTCGACGAGCTATGTTAGCGGATATAGGGTCAGGCTGGAAAAGAGCTAGCGGCGGTCAAACAAAAACATGGCACCAGTCAATGAAATCCACAACAGTTGGTCTAAGCCACGTAGGAAGGTGTAGACTTCCAGGCTGGGGTCCTCGGGACGGTAAAAACAAATGGTCGGAAACAATATTGGTGACATGGCTCAAAATCGTTGTCAATGACAGCGCAGATGCATCCACTCCTTGTGACTTATGATCTCCAATGAAACTGTTTTGTTCTTCGTTATTACTCTTCCTTTGTCTCACACCTCTGATCACTGTCTCTATTATGCTTTTCTTGTACTTTCTTCTCTTGCTTCACGTGCTACACGGAGTGTGGCGACTTGAACTTCCACACATTTGTGCAGAGTTCTATGTCGAAAACAGACAGAGACAGACATCACAGGGTAGAATTTCGGCACTGTAAGGTAGAATATAATCGCATAAATTTATTTAATATGGGACTAAAATGATTTTACTTCTGCCTAAATTGCTAGTTAGGACTTAGTTACTGCGTGGAACAGATTTGTCCGCCTTTCCGCCTAACTGACCTTCTGCCTCCTTGGATGTGGGATGCATTGTAACAGTGTATGGCGAGTGAAATTTATGTATAGCTGATATTGAATTATACATTTTTAAAAAATTTTGATTGCGATGTTTACAACCATTCTGACTGTTGTCTTGTTGATTCACATTTTGCATTCCATTGAAGTCACTCTCATGAACTTCAGGTATTGACAATACCTATAAATGATATTAGCCATCAATGGGATCGTTTGGGAAAATGTATTCATTTAGGGAACTATTGGAGAACCAACTGGGAATAGTCTCGTTGACTTAGAATATGCAGATGATATAGTCCTCCCTCCAAGGTGAAGACGCTGACAAAATTCAGAGTCTTCTAAACACCTTGAGCTGCAATCTACGAATGTTTGGCATGCGATTCACTCCCGCCAAATGCAAGATGATGTTACAGGACTGGACTACACTGACTCCTAGTTTAGAAATAGGGAGTGAAGTGGTAGGGCACATTGACCGTTTCACTTATTTGGGAAGTTGTATCAGCCAAAGCCAACGGGTTGATCTCTGACGAAATCTCAGTAGGCATACAGAGGGCTCGTTTCGCATAAGCCAGTTTACGCCGTCTCCGACGTGGACATGATATCCGACCGGCTGTTGACCAAAGGACGTGTGTACTCCTCAGCAGCCCGCTCCGTCCTCCTTTATGGCTGAGAGACATGGTCATTGAAAGTGGAAGATATGAAAAGGCTAGCTGTCTTTGATTATAGGTGTCTGCGTTCTATCTCCCGTATGAAGTGGTATAATAAGGTGAGCAATATTGATCTGAGGCATCGGTCGAGTGCTAGGTGAGTTGGAGGGGAAATCAATTGACGAGGCTGTGAAGTTACATCGACTGAGATGGTTATGAGATGTGTTACGTATGCCTAGTCATCTCCTTCCTCGACAACAGGCAATGTTAGCTGACATAGGGTCAGGCTGGAAAAGAGCTAGCGGTGGTCAAACCAAAACATATCTTCATCAGTCAATGAAATCCACAACAGTTAGTTTAAGCTGGCCACATAGGAAGGTTTATACTTCCTGGTTGGGGTCCACTGGACGGTAAAAACCAATGGTTGGAAACAATTGGTGATATGTCTAGCTGAAAATCGTTCTCAATGGCTGTTGCGGATGCATCTACGCCTTGTGCCTTAGGATTACCAATGAAATTACATTGTTCTTCGTTATAACTATTCCTTTGTCTCACAGCTGTCATGCATTTCTTCTCTTGCTTTGTGTGCTGCAAGGAGGGAGTGTGGCGACTTGAACTGCTGCGCATCGGTGCAAAGTTCTATGTCGAAAACAGGCAGACAGAACTGGGAATACTGGATGACTGTTTCGTCCTAGTTTGGGGCTCTTCACCGGGGTTCGAACCCAGGAAGTACCTGGGATTCTAGTGAGAAGTTGTAACCAGCGGGGTCCACCAAGTCAGGCAAGCGGACAGTTATTCGCCTGTGACACTGGTCTGGTCTCAGTGACTCAATGTTATAAGAGCCCGCCTTGTAAACAGAAGGTCGTGGTTTCGAACCCTGGCAGTGGGGCGGGTGCATACTGATGAAGAGTCTCAAACTAGACTGATAAAACAGCTGGCTGTCCAGTATTCCAGTGGAGGTTTTCCAATAGTTCTCTAACTGATGTCAGCTCGTGATAAAATCCTGTAACCAATCAAATTCCTAAAAACCAACACTTGAAAATGTACTCACTCTGTAATTATTTTTATTATTTCTTTTGTATTTATTTTAATTATTCGTTTTGTGCAATTTTTTTTACATTGAAGAGCGGGAAATCCTACTTGAAGAGACAACTTCAAGGTGTTCTGGTCGTGCCAAAACAGCAACAACAACGGACAGAAGCGAAGATAGCGAAAATCGATAGTGTATCCAGTAGTGACTCTGTTGTATCAAGTAGCAAAGATACTTCAAATAGTCTCGTCAGCAATCCTCTAAAGAATGACAAATCAGAAACAAGTGTAGCGACTGATAAACACACTTCTTGTACAAACGATAATGACGTCCAAATGTGTTCATCCTTACCCGGAATGGTGTATTCAGACCATAGTGATAGTGATTAAAGTAACATTTTAAAAAAATGTAAATACAGTGCTTCTTTTTATTACTTTACACAGTGTTTTGAAATAAATTGTATAATAGACCTCACTCAATGTAACAGGAGTTATTCTGCCTTAGTGATGAAGACGGGGGGACTGACACCTGTGGTGTAGCTTCTTGTAATTGGAAAACGCGAATACGTGTGTGTTAGTTTGTTATGAATGGCAGAGTACGGCGGAATTGTTCTCTGCCATTTGAATGATGTCCAGTTCTGGCCAGATAAAGGACATGTTCTGTGTATTCTGCTTCTTCCTCTGCCTTCCTTTCATGCTTTCTCTGTATTGTTTCTTCACGCAAAGGATCTTTCAGTTATCATCGTTTTCGCTGAATCTGCCATTCTGCTAATATTCAATATTCTTGCCGCCGAAGACATGCTACACAGTCATGGTACTATTTACAGAATCATGTTGTAACGACAGAAGACAAGGGCCAGGCAGTAGACCATTTATTAAGAAAATCAATGGATATTTATAGATTTTTAATGTCAGCGGGGAAGCAACGTCTTCTGATTGCTTGTTTTCTTACTGAAGGTTAATTTGGACTGCTCGTAACCGTTTCTTAGAAAGTTAAGCCATATATCTGCGAATCATATTTGCACACGTTAAGTCCGCTGTGAATGGTCTTTGAGTCCCTCAAGGTCAAGCTTTGTTATTGTGTTTTTTTTCTCATGATCCCGATTCGAGACGTAAATAGCATTGACGTAAATTGTTGTCTACAATTTCGGCTTGTTCCCAGACAGCTCTCAACACAATATTAGTGGAGTACACCACAAGCTTATTGTTAAGCAGATGGCGGTGTATACTTAGGTCTGTGTTTTTTCTGTTCTGCAAACATACCTTTCCACTGACGACTAATTACTACAGAGAATTGTTTTCTTTTGTACATGATAGGCTAAGCAGGTGTCTGATGCATTTTAACAGTGAAGGTACATTATTAGTAAATGTGAGGTCTGTTACATATTACCGCTGGTGCGGCAAAATATCTACTACTGTTACAGTACAAAGGAAGATTATTATTTTTATAGTTTTCTCCGCTGAAAATACCATGCTATGAACACTGTACATTCAGTATTTATAAATAATGAACAAGTCATCTACTTGGCGTGTATTCAGCTTCTGTAGATGTGAAGTTTTTCAGACACGACAACATCAGTACAAAGGACCCTGATAAATTCTTTCCTTTATTCAGTTTGAATACTTATAGATTTTCAAGTGCTGGTGTTGCAAGGATTCGATTGGTTACATGATTTCATCGTGAATTGACATCAATTAGAGAACTATTGGAAAACCAGCACTGGAGTACTGGATATTCAGGTGCTTCGTTAGCCTAGTTTGGAACTTTCCATCAGCATACAACCATCCCACTCCCGGGGTTCGGACCTAAGACCTTCCGGTTGTAAGGTGAGCTCGTGGAGCACCCGACCACTGGGACCTAATCCAATGACTACCCGGTGAATGCCAACTTCCGCCAATTCACATATAGCTCGACTGGCACTAGCCATCAAAGCGACTACATAAGAAAGTGGAATTTATCGTGAATGATCAAAATAATCCAGTTCCTCGTACTTTCAAAGACCTCAGTGTAAAACCTAGTGATAGACTCTCTTAGAAATAATATTAACAAGCATGTATGAATTGATGAAACCAACAGCCACTAACATTCAACGACTCTATGGTTTATCCAAAGTGCACAAACCGGTTCTGCCTCGTCGTCCAATTTCAGATCTGTGTATAATTCACCATATCACCGAATGGACAAGTGGATAGTTCAAATTCTTGGACCCTAGTACAAAGAAATTGTGACCTGTGCGTCGGTGGCACAGTGGGTTAGGACTCTCGCTGACCATGCACATGGTCCGAGGTTCTATCCCCTGCCGACGCACACACCTGATATCTATGGTCGGCCTGCAAAATTTGGGCTACCGATATCACATGCTGAAAATTTCATACATGTACTGAAAACACAGTGTGTCATCAAGCTGTAATATAAAAATATGGTGTCTTTGACTTTATTTCCGCCTTGCTTACTGAAGCCGGTGTCCCTCAAGGTGCTGTTCACTCTCCTCTTTTTTTTCTTTCTTCTTATATGACTTGCCTTATTCGGAAGAAATCAATTTTGTTAAATATGATGATAACCTTACTGTCTCGTTTGCTAATGACTTCCCGAGCTTATTGTTCCAAACTGACTGAATAGCTTTGTGTCCGATGTTAGTCAGTGGTCTAAGCTTAATCGTCTTACGTTAAATCCCTCCAAATGTCAGACAGTTAATTTCGTCTTCAAGAACAAACGTGATCTTAACGAACTCATTAGTTCACACGATGTTTGTGGCTTAGGGGGGGTGGTTATATAGAGAATAAGTCAAGCACATAGAATACCTTGGTATAGTTCTATCCTCTGACCTTTCTTGATCTGTCATCGTATATCCTGTCTATTTCTAAGAAAATACTCTTCCTAACCCGCTACCTTAAGAAGTTGAGACAATCGGAAATTACCCAACGTTTACTTTTAAGATTTGTTAACTCTGGTATCTTGCCTATTGTTTTTTATTGATCCCTTTTAGTCTTTCTTGGGCTACTCAAAAATGGTCATGTCATATTTTGCAGGTATTAAAGGTCGTTAGTAGGGCAAATGGTGTACAACTTAGTCACCTTGCTACTACAATGGTTGATAGACATCCGAACTCATGTATGGATATACTTGCATTCCCAAGTGAAGTTAGTCACGGTGTTTCCACTGAAGCTTGAACGCAGTACCCTTAGTTTTGAAAACCAAGTTGTTATCAACTAGAATACTTAGGCCACGAGAGCCACCTGTTGTGTAACGGGTACATCCAGTGATGAGCCCGAAAAGAAGACGAAATGCACATTATCCTAGATTCCACTGATAGTCACTATCCACCAATTTATTTCAAGTTAAATCATCTGACACTGTTGAAGCATTGTACATGGAACCGAGGCTGAGCACTTCGGTCTAATCAGTGAACGGGGAAGTTCAAATCGAATTAAATAATACCTGCTTTGTTCGTCATATAAGATATGCAGATTGAGACATTTCTGACGACAGAAGATGACGACCAGGCAACAGGTCGTTTATTGGGAATACCAACAGATATTTTATATATTTTTATGTACATTATTATTTGTTATTATCAGCAGAGAAAAAGAGTCTTCTGATTGGTCGTCTTCTCACTGGAAGTTATTCTGTCATCTCTGTGTGGCCATTGCTTTGAAGGTCAGACCATATATCTGCGAATAGTATCCGCCCAAGCTAAGTGTGCTGTGATTGGTTGTTAAGTTCCCCAAAGTTAAGCTTTGTTCTTGTTTTTTCTCATGACCAAGACTTGGGACGTAAATATTGACGGAAATTGCTGTCTACCAATTTTGGCTAGCAAACAGTTGTCACCACGCATTTATTTGAAGCTGTCATAGGTTGAAGTATCTGCAAATAGTTTTCTATTCCTTGGTGTGTGTGTGTGTGAATACCCTTTTCCCTTAACAACTGTTTTTGCTGCTAGCTAATTTCACCTTATCACAGAAAAGACTCGAATAGTTTATCATGTCACCTGTGTCTGTAAGTATGGTATGTGCTTTACGCCGTCTAAGTGCAAAGTACTGTTACAAGATTGGCAGGAGCCTGTACCCGCAATGACTCTTGTGGGTGAACCGCTTGAAGTTGTTGATAATTTTGTGTATCTGGATAGTTGTGTGAATGCTGACGGATGAGATTTCCAACCGTATAATGAAGGCTAGGGTGGCATAGATCAACTTGAGCCACTTCTGGCGCCGTCGCGACGTTAGCCTGGCTGTCAAAGGTCGGGTACACAATGCTTCGGTGTGGGCTGTCTTGCCCTACGCCTGTGGAACCTGGCCTCTCCGAGCTCAAGATGTGCAGCGGCTCTGCATATTTGATCATCGATATCTCCGCAAGATTGCTTGCGTTCGATGGCATCATCGCGTAAGTAATTCTGAGGTTCGGCGGTGTGTGTTTGAACACAGTGGAGATCACTATTCGTTTGGTGTCGTCATTTGGAAACACCGGCTTCGGCAGCTTGGACATATGCTGCGGATGTCATCCAGAGGCTTCCGTACAGGTCTCTGTTCTCTAGCCGGTCGTGGGACGGGATGAAAAAGGCGGAGGGATGGTCAGTTCATGACGTGACATCGTGGGATGAAGGATGTTTGTGCTAGATTAGCATCGGTTGGTATGTCACGACTCCCTGGTTGGGGTCCACGAGATACCTCGAATCGAAGGTGGCAGCCAACGTTATCGGATATGGCCAAGGATCACAGTCATCAATGGCGAACGTGTTGGAATTTCCTTCTTTCTTCCCTTCCCGATGACAGTTAACGAATACTGTTTGAACTTGTTAAGCATGACTGTTTTCCTTCCAGATGAAGTTCTTTATCCGTTCTCCACTTATATATTTTTTTCTTTTTTTATTCTATGTTGTTTTATTATTATTGTGTGGCGCATCTTTCTTGGTGCCATATTGTACCAAGTTTTTTCTGCGTTTAAATAAATAAATATAAATCATGTCACCTATGTAATGTGATATTAGTCAATTGAAGTCACCCCGGATAACTGAAGTTTCTGTATTTGCTTTAAGCTATTGTCCCCCAACAACGACGAACATCCGAACTTTGGGTAATGTTTTTTTAGGTTCTCATTCCCACTAAAGTTTCAATGATGCCGAATCTTCTAGATCGATTTGTTACTGATAACCTTCTTCATACCCTTCAAGTAAACTCTTACGTTATTCTTTATAGTGGTCACCTATGGTCGCATTATTTGAATCAAACTCAGGGATTTCACGTTATGAAGAGGGGATGACTATTTACACAAACCACCTATGAATTGTAACTTCTCTCATTCTGATTTGGTTGTGTTTTCTGAACTGGTTGATTGCGTTGCGGAGCTTTCGTTTTCCTTCTAGGCAACATCTTCAATGTATCTCCTGAGAACC